GCGGTCATACTCAAGCTTATGGCGAGATCATCTAGCTCATCCACTAAAATTATCTTGCCATAGTTGGATATGAACGGGGCTATAGAGCCCCGATATTCAACACCCCGGCCGCTGACAAACTCCTGCCCGCCAAACATTTTAATCCGGCCCGCGCAACATTGCTGAAAAATAAATTTTCGTCCGATTTTCAATACAGAAAAAGTTTTTTCTGTTGAAACATGAATAACTACTTTGGCATTATTAACACCAGACTGGCTTTTTCTTAGTGTAGCTCATTGTATCTATCTATCTATCTATCTACTTGCCATGGACAGAGGAGAGTTGGTAATTCTTGTCCTAATTGGGGAGAGGGAGACTGATGGGGATGGATGATTAAGTGGAGGGTCACTGGTATGATGCATGTTTAACCATTGGTGGGGCACCAGTGGCGGATCCGTGGAGCGGGCTTGTGTTCATGTCGTTCTGTTGAAAACACTGTTTGATGTGTCTTTACTGTCTGAACATGCCATTTCATGGAATCTAGAGGTGTTTATTTAAACAAATTTGCTCAACTCAGCCCCAACATGAGAGTATTTTTTTCTTGGCAAATTTATGTGGTAGAAGGGCAGGCGATTTGTTATATCCCCACCCTTCCCTGTGATAACTGCGTTCCCTCATTTTTGCAAACCTTTTTGCAAAACAAGGCCTATCTTAGATAATGTTGAAAAACAAAGGCTAATAATAGGCCTATTAGAAAGACCTGTAAGCCTAGACTAAATAGGAACATACCAATTCTGAACAGTTTGACACCAAAAGCAACTATCTAGGACCCTCGTATTCGACCTTTTTAAGCTGGGGACCAGTTTCAATCTGTTGAGACCACCAGTCGGCCAACATAAATTGTGTACTTTGAATTTTATTTATTTTCGTAATCACAAAATTAACATAATGTAACATAGTACATGATTTAATAGATACCTTTAATGCCAAATATATTGAAATTAAATCTTCCAGTGACGGACTAGCTTCAAAATACCATTTGTGGGTAAAAACCTGTTAAATTGCAATTTTTTGGTCACATTTGTCATTAAAATCCAAAATTAAGTGTGACAACAGCCCATTCCGTTGAGCCAAGGCTTGGTATAAGAATAGAGTATCAGATGAAAAGTTGTTAGCTTAGTATTCATAAATAAAACATGTGTTATTTAATTTGACTAAAAAGTCATAAAAAAAATTATTATTATTCTTTTTGGGTCACAACATTAATATAAAGTGTTATAACACACAGCATTTGATAGATTTTTTTTTATCTCGTGGGGAGGGAACACACACCTTTATTCAAACATTATGACGTGATTTCTTTATCTTCTTTTAAAATCAAATACGTTCAACAATAACCACATGCTTAACATATTACCATAATAATATATCTATAATAACAATATTAAAAATGTAAATTTCATCGTTTGTTCAAGACAGTTTACACTTAAGTAAAACACTTTTATAGGCCTATAAAAGTTAACATTAACTTTATATTAATTTTACTTTAACCAACTTCCGTAAATATAACTTCCGTAAATATTTTTCCTTAAATTTAGTTTAACCTGATTCTATTTTACATTTAACTTAACCCTTAGGCCTACATTTCCCTTTCACTTTACCATATAAATTTACGCTTAACTTTACCGTTGCATTTACTTCCATATTTATCGTGTTATTCACGTTTGCCTTTATGTCTACTTTTACATTTAGCTTCAAATATCTTCTCACGTTTAAAGTTTCATTTTTTGCTTTTAAAGCTACTTATTTTTTTTTCTTTTGTGGGGTAACCCACCTTTATTTATTCCATTTTCATCTTTGTATTTATGTACAAACTACACGATTCTCTGAATGATAAAAACAAAATTTTATGGATAATAACAATAATATTTTTAATTTATGTGAATTACAATTATCTTTTTTCTTTAGTTGAATATCCATCTCTTCTTATTGTCATTTTATTTCCATACATTATCTCAACTTGTTTCACCTTAACCATTCAGAATTAATAGTAATTTTGACTAGTTTGCACCTTAATTTTAGTTCTGCAATGAGCATCCTGTTTAATTTAACTATTTAAAATTTTACCTTTTGCTTTTAAATATGATTTATAAATTGCATAACAAGCTACTGTAATTATTTCATTGCTTTTAGCATTCTTAACTCCAAATACAAAATCAGCATATGTAAGCATTTTTACATTTTGTTTTTGTTAATTATGTTAGCTACACAATTCCAATAACTTTTAAGTCTTTGACACTCATAGAACATATGCATTTCATTTTCCTCTTTTTTACATAAGTTAAATTAGGATCCTGTTTTATGTTCCACAAATATATTCAACAAAACTAATCTATTGTTATTTGGTAAGATTCTATGTACTCTAATAACTTAAAATTCAACTCTGATAGTCTTGCTTCTTTTATTCTGGATATCATATTAAATCCCACTCAAAATTTTTACCCTCGTTTACAGAACCAATGTTTGGTGATAAGAATAGAGTATCAGACGAAAAAGTTGTTAGCTTAGTATTCATAAATAAAACATCTGTTATTTATTTTGGCTAAAAAGTCATAAAAAATAAGGTTTTATTTATTCTTTTTGGGTCACAACATTAATATAATGTGTTATAGCACACAACATTAGATAGATAAGTTTAAATGCTTTCTTATATGATACTAAATATATTCAAATTGAATCGTTTACTAACGTACTAGCTTCAAAATACCATTTTGGGGTAAACAAGTGTAAAATTTGCCATTTGTCGAGGGTGATAGACTTTGACATATGACCAGGGAAGTTCACTGTTCCTTGCTTTGACATACTACTACCAAAATACAAAATGGATAATGTCTGAATACAGTACTTCAACTACCAAAATATGCAACTCACAGATAACCACAAAATTCAATTTTGTTAAGTATCAAATGAAATAACTTTACATGTTATAAACAATGCAAATAAACACTAGTTAAAAGCATGTAGATCAATTGTATGTTTGAATCACAAGTTTATGTATGGGAAAAGGGAGGCTCACTTTCTCACAAACTTTCAATAAATGTTCTGCTTAGAGTTACTTCAAAGAAGTCTTTGTTAATCAAATATTGTTTTTAGTAACCTGAATAATTGGGAATACATTTATTTAAGCAACTTATTTAATTGCATACTTGGTGTTTACTCCCCGCCACAACTAAATTTAAGTGCCTACTACTGGCTCAGAAACCAGTGGCCATAATTTTTTGTTGTTGTCAATTTATAATTTTCAAAATTATACTAAATACTGTAAACTGAGATATACTATATATCCATAGTTATGTAAATATGGCAATTATGCTAAGAATTAAAATGGCGTGTAATTGTGAGGGTAGGGTATTATGGTAGGATTAAATGGTATTGCTAAATCCCACAAACCTCCCAAAACACACTGTAGAAAACCAAACAATTCAATTGTGATTGACTCACTTGGTATATATCAATAAGAAAATTAAATACATTCATAAGAACCTATTTTTTGGTTAAAATGTTTTTTTGTGAAAAAATACTTGAAAATACACCACAAAACCTCCAAACTCCCAGAACGAGGGGAGCCTAGCTTAATGAAAATATTGGAACAAATTTGAAATGATTTCATGTTTTACTGTAGTTAAATATCAATAGCTTAGGCCTATTTTTCATGATTTGATTCACCACGTAAATAGGGCAAATTATTCCGGCTTCGAAATTTAGATCAGAAATACCGGGATCACGTCCGGCAGGGGATTTTATTTCATTTTGTTTTATTTCAACAATATTAAAGAGGTAGCTTCCCCGAAGGGAGGCTGATGTTATATAAATAAAATAGAACATTATACAATGAGTCACCACTTAGATACAAAAATAAATAAATAAATATATATATATATATATATATATATACGATATTGAAGGAAGTTAGCCGTTAACACTGTTGAATAAATATAATATAAATCATCAAAGGTACATATACAGTGTTTAATAAGCTACAGAGTAGCCTACGATGTTCCATCATGTCCTTATTAAACACTTTATATGTACCTTTGATGATTTATATATTATATATATATATATATATATAGGCCTACTCAGTAACAAATAAATAAAATAAATATATAAAATTAGATAATGTTGCTGTTATATTATATATTATAATATATCAATCATTCAAATAGGCATACAAACATGGGTAAGACTCAAACAATGAAAAAATAAATTTATCAAAAGTTGTATACAATTAATTATGTACAATTTATTGATTATATAATTTGAATATAAACTCTATAATTCTCCGTCTTTAATATACAATTTATAGTTTCGTTTAAAAGAATAAAATGATTCTGACTTTCGGAAGTTGTCAGGAAGGCTGTTAAATAAGGTAGGGACAGGAGGATAAAATGATCTTTTATAGCATTCATGTTTTGTCTTAGGTAATAGTTTTACCTTTAAATGACTAGAAGGCTAGAATAATTCTAGTAAAGCATTTCACTTGTACTCGCAATGTTTATTCAGGCACCGAAACCTCGATTCAGAATTACTGGGATGTTGTCCAGCTAGGGATACTTTTACATCTAAAATTTTGTTACTCCTAGATTAAGTTATTTTTTTTGTTGTTAAGAATTAATTATATTAGTATTTAAAAGCGTTTACCGGTACATGTTAAAAGCTTTGCTTCCAATGTAATTCATTACATCTCATTTTCATATTTCCATTTATTTTTGATACCTTAAATTTTCTATAATTATACATGTGAATATGAATGTGAACTAATTCGAAATCGAAACTAAACAAACATTTAATGTATATCTAAATCTTCTGTTTTTTAATATTAAGTTCCCTTTATCATCTGGTAAATTATTTTACTGCACCAAATGCAAGAATTTACTGAATAATTAAAACTGCTGAGAAATAATTCAGTGAATTCGCCCAAAATCTAATTTTAATTATATATATTTTTTAATCGAACACAGCTGTACAGAGCAGCTGATCATTGAGGCTGACACAGACTTGAAAATAGGGCTTGCGCAAAAATATGTTCTATAAGGATGATTATGAATGAATAATTCATGAGATTTTACCAAACTATCAATATTGCGCCCAGGGAGAGATTTTTACAGACCATCCACTTGAGCCCCATCATGGTTGGGACTGCGGGAAAAATGTTATGACTATGGCACCTCTAGATTGCCGTAAATAGCACACTCAGACAGGGGGCGGCTAGGAAAGCCACTGGAAAAATAGTGTCGAATTTCGGCTAGGAGAGGGCGCCCTATTTTTCGGAATTATTTCAAATTAGTCAAATTTGATTGTGTTTGAAGAAACGTTAATTCATCTAATAACTTACTTAACAAAACAAACATAATAGTGAAATATGTTTAAAAGTAGTTGAACAATATAGTGAAATATTTTTGGTGTATTTTGACCAGAACTATAAAGTGTAATTTAACGGACATTTCGTGCTAGACCATTTTTACGATTTTGTACCCTAGTAAATCGTTAAATTGAAACCCCAAAAAATTTTGATCATTAACGCATTTGAAATCCCTGCTGTAAAAATATATAATCTATAATTACAAATATTAAGATAAAAAATCGAGTAGCTGGGACGCAAATCCGACTCTGGGAACTAAAAGTACCTCCATTTCGTTGGGCTCGAATACTAGCGTGTACGCCATTTTCTAAACATCGGCGATCGTACTCGAAGATCGTATTTATACCGAACATTTCAAAGAAAATGTGTTCAACAAATAATTAGTGTGTATGGAATAAACATGTACAGTTAAAATAAATATTATTACATATCTAACCTTTCCAGTCAGTAATTTATCGACAATATTATTGTTTGTCTCTACTACGAATCGTATGCGAGGCTGAGGCCTAGGATGTGCACATTGGGGGGCCTAGCATTTTCGCGTACCCGTAAACAGGCAGCGACGATTATGCACATTTACAAACAGCTCCAATCCTTCTGAATTTGTTATCCTCGCTATATGGCAAGTGTACATGAACTAATTACTAACATTCTTCACTGATTCACCATATCATTCACAATTTCACTCAATATACGCGATTTGCAGGACTTATAAAAGAGCAGGCACAAAAAACATGTTTATAACAAACTTATAATATATTTAATTAATAAACCAGTCATATACTACTATAAAAATATGCATGCATGTACATTGATAATTATGTAGTGGACTACATTCCACCCACCCCCACCCCTTCCTAAAAACTCCCCATCCAGAACATTTATCATCTCTATAAATATAGTTCAACATTCCAATAAATAAAAAAATAAAAACACACTGAATAAAATTACGGTACACTTATAGACTTTTTTGTAGGTAGGTTTAGATTGGAATAAAGAAAGATGTATTGGTTGAATTTCTACAATTCAACACTATAAAATACTTTGTTTAATTTAGGTCTATACACAAGGTTTTGGAACATATAAAATCAGCATAATAACTTCTAGAATATAAAAATATGCATGCTTTCACACTAATTATAATATAGTGCCCACCACCCCCCACTTTATATTTCTATACACATTCAAATAACGAAAAATGAGGAACATATATAAGTTATAGGCCTTTTATAGGTTTTGAAAGAAATGAGAAAGACGTATTGGATTTCTACACATGAAACACTATATGATACTTTAACAGGTCTATACACAAGATGTCATGAAACACATAAAATCAACATATCTTTTATAAAAATAACACTGAATAGAAAAGACTAATATAAAGGCTTCATTATAATTTCATAAGTATTTTTTGCTATTAATTTGAATTTAAAGTTGGTTTTTAATTATAAACTACAAACACCATTATATTTAAAAAAAAAACTTGTGTTAAATTTGTCAAATATACCCTAACCCAAGAAAAAATTTTTAATTTATTATTTGTTCTAGCACTTTCTGTTAACAATCCAAATGAATCATCCTGGTATAAATAAGCATTCAAAAGAAACTCACACAACAAATAATAAGTATGAATACTTTTAAGACATACTTTTATATGACTATTAATGCAACAAAGCAAAGTTAATACTAATCGATAAAATATTGATTTAAATTGATGTCACTGCTAAATTGTGTTTTCAGCATGTTTTTGTTTTTCTATAGGTGAGGCTATTCCAAGGCATTTGAGGTATATTGGAGTTCAGTGGTTGAATGAGTTGTAGCACCATTTAAAGTAGTTGAAATTGCACATTTTTAACTGTCGTTGGTCTGCATTCGCTCAAGACTGATTTCTTTTTTGCAGTTTCAAAACTAATGTCCCTAAAATGAAATATACTTGGTTACAATAATAGAATAATGTATCTATATAAATAATAGAGACATAGTATGCTTTGGTATATTTTGATGAAAGAGAATTATTGCAGAAAACTACAATAAGTAATAATAATTTACTATATTTATATACAGTATATAATATGTACATATATTTACACAATGCTCATAAAACCATTAAATGTTCTTAACACCAGCCTTATCAATAACCTGACGTTTCTTATGTTTCCTAATGGTGATTTAAAATATTTACCTTTAAATAATACATAATAAATTTATGTAATAAGTAACTGGAAGTCAAGGTCCTCATTATCATCGCTCAAATTGTCTACAGAATCATCATCGCTTACCTCTTCAAGGACCGCCTTCCTTGGTAGGATGAATCAGCTTACAGTTACTAAAAAGCATTATAAAAAATTGACTTATACTTACCTTCTACAATGCAAGCATTGCAAAACACCCACCTCAATGTTTAAGTAAGCCTATCTACAAGTATAAAAAAAAAATAAATAAAACCATGTCCATGGATGAACATTTTCGCCTATTTCAGCTGAGACATGTCACTTCGAGTCTGCAACAGCAACCATACTCTGTCCATCACAATGTTATGTCTTTGTATTCTAATAAAATAGTATAATAATATTTGAAAGAGTATGTTGTGGTTAAAATTCAATGAACATTATCATCAGATATTATAGTTTTATGCAATTTATTTAATAAAAATAATTTTTTTAGCTTTTGACACAGTGGACTTAAATCAGGAGACACTGTGTTGTAATGTATTATTACCTTACCACGATAATACTACTAAACCACTAGATTTGCCTAGGCCTACCAGTATCAGAGACCCTACTATAAATAGGCCCGGCCTAAAAAATCTAAAAATAGTATACAAATTAATGCAAATAAATCTGAATCTATAACTAGTAATTACAGTATAATTATTATATAGAAATTGTATTAAATAAGCATGGTCTAGGCCTGAACCACAAAGCCTCTGCCTTCAGACGCCAATCGCATCGCAACGGACCCCACCACCTTGCCGCTGCTGCGCTATTACTCACTGCTACCTACCACTACCGCGTGTTCACATGTTCAAAATATTGCCTAGCATTCTACGGCCTAGAAGTATGATTCACAATTTTTGATCAGAATTGAAACAGGTCTTACCCGAATAATCTATGAATAAACATCATAAATCAACACTCTAAAAAAATTATGATTAGCTGGGACGCAGCTCCGACTCTGAGGAAAATGGTAAATAAACGTATAGTCAAATCGTACTAAATTTCAACATTCCATATGTGTCAACATCAATCGATGAATGCTTTGTGTTAGCGTCGCTTCTGTCGAAAAACCACGATTGGTTCCTAAACTAGACTTATAAGGAAATGTTTTTACCGTATAAGGAAGTCATGGGCGGGCCTTGTCTATTAATGAGAGTTTTAAATAAAGCTGCATTATTTTGCTAAGCGACCATAAAACGTGGTTACGTTTTTGAACGATAGGTGGCGCTGCGCAAAGCAAACACGGAAGTGAAATCGAAAAATCGTGATTTAACGGTCAAATCGCCTATCGGCTGTCCCACTGTAGGACATCCTTCGAATCTGCCACTGAATTTTCCCAGTGGCGAAACTAGGTTCCGATGGGCCCTTTTTCGAAAGTACAGTCATTACTCAGGTTAAGAATGCTATATCTAGAAAAATAATGACCAAATCACAATTAGTTTTTTTTAAATAATATGCAAGACAGTGTATTGCGAAAACGATAGAAAAATAAATTGTTCAAAATGTCTTATCATTTCCATAATTATATGAAATGAGATGTTTATTTCTCAATAAATAAATAAATTGCAAGAAACACGATGACATTATATAATGCAATATGAAACAAAGACTATATGGTCTATTATATTTATACAAGTTGACGGATGTTGTCAAATACCTATAAAAAATATTCTAGATTCAAGAACACTTAATTGTCCATTTTAAAATAGGAATTTGTTTTTCCTTTACAACAGTCTTGGTTTAAAAGGATAAAATTACATGAAAAATCACAAGACAAAACAACTTGGCAATGACGAGGAATCGTTTAGATATTAACATGTTAAAATAGTACGGTAATGTAGTAAAAAGTCAAAATAAAAATCACTTTAAAATTTACTATGTGTACCTCAGAAACAGGCCAGCCATTTTAGTAAAGTTTAAAACTATAAAAACCTAGCATTTTGCTATAAAATGATGACAGTATGCTAATTAAATAAAACATGTGTATACACAGGGTATAGCATGCTTATTCCTCCATGAATAAATAAAGTGCAAGAAACACGAACATACTTATATTATATAATGCAATATGAATAAGGAATGTGCGGCATATTACATTTGTACGAGTTTACGGATATTGTGAAATACATATAAAAAGTTGTGGATGCACAGGGTACAATATGCTATGCATTATTTAGTAAAGCTATTTTTTTTGTCTTTTGAATTAAGCCAGGTGAATACGTTAGAGTGTCAATTTTTTTTTTTTAGAGTAGGCCTATTTTTGCAACATACTGAGCAGGCCGTATGGTAATACGTCGGCTAGTGTAAAACATCATTTTTAAAATATCATTTCTACTGTTAAAGCAATGTTTAACGACTATTACAATACTTGTATGCACGTTATTATGAAATCCCATGGTGACAAATATAAATGATAAAGCATGAATGGTTAATTGATATATTTAGTACAAGTATAAATCACTGATATAATAGAATAGTCCGTGTTTTGAGCTACAAAGACAAAACTATAAAAAAAGAAGTCATGCTAATCAATGATGACTATGTACATTTTTGTCGCAACGGCGGCGGAACGTTTTTGAAAGTGGTGGTGGGGGGGGGGGGGGCATTTCATAGGGTCCAGTATGCGAGCGAAGCGAGCATCTTGGCTGGGGGCGAGGGGGTCCCGATGATTACCCTTCTATGCCTGGAAATGATACTCCAACTGTGGCTGGTCCAGGAAGTCGAAATAGAGGGGTCCCAGGGAGGGTCTTGCGTAAATAGAATGTCCACCCGCCTCAGCCTCACAACTGATTATGGTTATGGCACTCTAGATGGCCGGAAATGGCACTCTCAGATTAAAAGTTGAATATAAGTATAATAAATAATAATAATAAAAATAGAAGAATGGTGTCCCGGCTGACTGGGTTCCCCCTTGAATCTGCGACTGTTCAATAAACACACCTAATGTCAAGCGAAAGATTTTTTTATTCGAAAGATTTCTTTTACTTAATAGAGTTTTTACAACCTATAACACATTAACTACAGTGTACCGTATATTTTGTAGTTAACCTTCAGAGAACTTTATTTAAAAAAATGGCCTAATTAAGTATCTTATTGTTTTCTTTCAATTAGATGGAGTTTAAATGTGGTTATATTACGCTAGCTTGAAGGTTTACTGTAAGCCAGTCAGTTACACCAGGGAGATGTAATTTTTACACCTCCCTGGTTACACTTACTATACATGTTCGTGGTTAGCATAAAGAGAACTAGAACGTCGCTCCATTAAGAGTGCCTCTTCATGTTCGAGGGTGGGTATAGCCAAAAACTAGGTTTATATCACTACAGCAGGGCATTTAGGTCTGGACCGTTATTCAAGACAGTAAAAAATGCAATGGGTTTTAAAATAGGCATATCATGCTAAAATAGTGCACAAAATATAAACATTATTAAAAGCAACGGCGGCGGAAGCGGGTGGGGGGAAGGGGGCCATGCCCACCCACTTTTTCTACTGGGGGAGTCTCCCCCCCCCACTGTATTTAATTAGGCATATGGGGGGGGGGGTAGGCACTCTTAATGGAGCGACGTTCTAGTTCTATTTATGCTAACCACGAAGATGTATAGTAAGTGTAAATAATTGGCTTACAGTAAACCTTCAAACTAGCGTAATATAACCACATTTAAACTCTAATTTAACGAAAACAATAAGATACTTAATTGTGCTATTTTTTTAAAATAAAGTTGTCTGAAGGTTAACTACAGAATTTACAATACAATGTAGTTAATGTGTTATAGGTTGTAAAAACTGTAATGAGTAAAAAAAATATTTCGAATAAAAAACTATTTCGCTTGACATTACCAATTAATCATTTGTGAAACAAAATTATAGGCTATGTCAAGTGTTATATTGAACAGTGGCAGATTCAAGGGGAAACCCAGTCAGCACGGGACCCCATCATAATTTTTCTTACCTCAGCCCCACAATTGTTGGGCGGGTGGACATTCTATTTACGCAAGACTCTCCCTGCACTGAACCCCTCTATTTCGACTTCCTGCACCCGCCACAGTTGGAGTATCATTTCCGAGCTACATAGAAGGGTAATTTTTATCCATCGGGGGAAAAGTGAAGCTTTCGTCGGGGAACCCATATCAAGGATAACCCTCATAATAAATAATTCTTTTAAGTCTAATAGTGTAATTTCTGGCCATCTAGAGGTGCCATAATCACAAAATTTCTTACCTCAGCCCCAACTATGGTGGGGCTAAGGTGGTATAGATTCTCCATCCGCTGAAGTACCCAGTGGCGGATTCAAAGGGACCCAGCCAGGCCGCCCGCCCCCACCCTCCTAAATTGTTCAATAAAAAAATGGAGATATAAAGATAATTATAATTTATATTCAAATTTTATGTCTGGAAGTGCAATTTCCGGCCATTAGAGATGCCATAATCAGAAATTTTCTTCCTACCATCGTTGGGGCTGAGGTAGTATAGATCTTCTATCTGTGAAAGAACCCTCCCTGGGCCCTTCTATTTCGAATTTCTGGATCCGCCACTGGAAATTACAACAAATATGAAATCATATTACAGTAGCTTGATGCCTATAAAATAACTTATAAAATTTACCAAACTTCGTAAAATATCTGTAGCTTCCATGGGCCTTCGCCCCCTAGACCCCCACCGGGGCCCTTGGCGGCCCCCTGGCCCCCAGCCTAGATACTTTCTTCGCTCGCATACTCGACCTTATAACCGGGCCCCCCACTTTTCAAAAACGTTCCGCCGCCGTTGATTAAAAGCTTGTTAAAAACTAAAAGTACCTGTATTTTTTATTTCACATTCATAATGAATATGCACTCATATAGTACTTGAATGGTTCAATGATGTGATTTTTTTAGATAGTTTATATTTTATATTACATATGTAAAAAATTACAAACCGTTCAATAAAAGACAGTGCTCCAGAGCAAAACATATTCATAGGCCAAAAAGTCTTGGGTGGATCCTGAACGTAGTGCAATCACATACCCTTAAATTGTATTAAAAAAAAAACCAAATATAGGCCTATATTATTTGTAAGGCCTGTTGTATAGGCCTATAGACAGCAATTCCAAAAAATCATCTTATGCTTGGGCAATATATAGATTTTTTCAAACATTTAGCGCGAGTAATCGTTGGTGGCTTTGTTTAGAGCCACATTTTGTAGATTTGGCATAGTTTGGCCCAATCTGGCATAATTTGAGCCAGGCCACGCCATAATTTTAATATCGCTGGCAACGCTGTCAGTTCATTTATTAGACCAACAAGGTCGGGGGCAGTGGCAGCTCTAGGATATAATTTATGGGTTGGGGTGGGGGGGGGGG